TGTTGTCCCTCAAGCAGCTATCTGAGGGTTTTCACAGGACAAAGTATGATAGATATTCAATATTAGCATTAATGCAGTTAATCAGAATCAGGTCTCCACATCCTACCACCCACCATAGGACAATCCTATAACCTGGTCACCATGGCTACCAGGCGCCTCCTTAAACAGCAGTAGTAGCGCTGTAGTAGAGGTAGTGAATATTACTTTAGCGATAGTTTCAAGGTGTTGCTTTATTGTATATCTCGTACCGTGTCTTTTGGTTGTGCTTTTGTTTTTTCATCTCGTTACAGGTGATGAAGCAGACTGAAAATGTTTTGTCATTGTCTCCTTCCTATCTCCCCTTTCTTTCATCTTTTCTCTTTTATTTTTTTTTTCTCTTTTTTCCTTTTTCTTCTTCTGTTTTTCTGCTCTACTTACATTGCAGTGTCCATATAAACTGTAATACTCCCTGCATAATCATAGTAAAGCAATTTATATGCATGAAACAAGTGGAGCAATATGGCAATTGCCGTACTGCTAAGTAAAATCTGTTGGGACCTTTTTGGCATCAAGACAATAATTCTTATTGCCACATTGCCAGACAGGACACTGTTAAAAAAATAAATAAAAAAAAAGAGGTAGTGAGTTCTCTGATATTTGGTCTCTGTGTCTTTATGGACTGAGTCTATTTCAGATTTCTTTTCTCTATGATTTGTTCTTTCAGTGGACAGAAGGACTGAAGACGTGATGGAGCAGGAGGACATCCCACCTGAGCAGAAGGAAGAGATGTTGAAACAAAAGAGAAGTGGCAGTATGGACGCCCCACCTGAGATGGCTGACTCGATGAACAAATTGATAGCAGCTGCAGCTGAATTCATAGAGCAGTCTGGCAGAACTGAACCCGAAATGAGAGACATTGTGAAAGAGTTAATGAAGATTTCTGAAGAGGTGAAAACCGTACAGCGCTTTACCGACGCCACGAGAAAAGTTGGAGCTTCTGTCGGAGGTGCAGCACTTATAGGTTTATTTTTGGCTCCGTTCACTGGAGGTTTGAGTTTATTTGTTCCTGGAGCTTCTTTGGTTGCTGGTGGTGGTACTATTGTTGGATCAAATGTGGTAAAAGTCTGGAAAGAGAATGAAAAGGTGAATGAAGTAGAAAAATGGGGGAAAAAATTCATGGAGCTGGTGGAACCTCTGAAAGAGAAGTTGGAAGAGATAAAGATAATCAGTGCAGAGTTGGAGCGACAATCATCTGAAGTTATGGCTGAACGCGCTCTGAAAGATGTGGAGTTGCTTAGGTTTCTGCTTAGAAAGTGTAAGGAGCTTCAGAAAGAGAGTGAGCGGGTTTTGGGTCTACTTGCAATAGTGCTAGATGGATTACGCAAAATCATTCTAATGCTTTTCAGCATCACTTCAACCCCTACAGAAGATGAGAAGCTCAGACAGGCCATCATCCAGACAGCTGATCAGAGTCAGGAGGTTATAGATCAGTTTGTTAAGATGAGATCGAGCCTCATCCAGTTTAGGGAGGGAAACTGATGACCTGAGGAATCAATTGTTCATCTGTTATTTTTATGACTTTTATTTTTAAAAGACAGCAAAATGTTTTTGTACAGAAAATGAAGCCACAAGGAGGCCTTCACTTCTAAGTTAATCATCACAACCGCAAAAACCAAAAAAATCTCTGCCTTTTTCTGCTGCCCGCCTTCAAGTGTCATGAAGGGAAACCTGCCATTTTTAATGCCAGAAATATTGATGGTAAAATTCAGCGTTCAGGTTAAATAAAAATGGATTAACCTTTTCTGACAAAGGGGTCCACACTTAGATGGGTAAGTGGATCATTCTTAACAGAGAAAGTCCTGGTAGTGTGCATTAGATGACCCTAATGAACTCTGTATATTATCTCTATATGTCTATAGCTTGTGACTTTTCTTCATGTACAAACATGTGTAATGATGTGATGATGTGGTATGAAACTCTGCAGTTGTATAAAAAGCTTATTTTAACTGCTTCCTGAAGATAAAAGGCCTGGTAGGCCTACCACATGTAACCTGAATCATTTCTCTGGTCTGAGGAAGATTATATTCTGTTAAACCTGTGTAACAGGTGGCGCCACCTGGTGTCCACAGCCTGAGCCTCCATTAAAGGCTTCATTTCCTGGGTGAGACCAGGTGTGTGTTGGTTCCACGCTGTTTGCTGGCTGTGGGAGTTTTGGAGGAAAAATGTTTCAAATTGATGTTTTTAAATAAGTTTGTGCTGATGTGGTGTTTTTATAGCGGGTTATTATTATTAATGATGTTCCATTGGTAGCGTTACCTTGGCGACGCCGCAGGTAGGCTGATACATTGGTCTTTAGAATCAGATTGAATTGTATGTTTTTGTTTTTTGTATTGTTTTTATTTGGTAGTGCTGCACTAGATTCATTTCATGTTTATATCTATATCAAGTTTGACTTTAGAGTGCTGGTTTAAGAGATGCAAGTATGCAGTGTTTTTAAAGTGTTTTAGATTGACTTGATTAAAGTGATTTAATAAGAATTTATCAATTTTTGTATTTTGTCTTTTCAGTTTTATCACAGCTTCCTGCCATCCTCTTTGAGCTTTAATTTTCTTTATTGTTAGTCTGCCCAGTTTGGATTGTTTGTCTCCTCTTAGTACTTGTGAGGGCGGGCTAACAACCTTCCATTTATTCTTGTTTTGTCCTCCATGTGTCCTAGGATCACTTCCTAAATTCTTCCATCTCTGTTAATCTTGGGTATCTGAGACCCGATCCTGTTTGATCTTGAGGTTGGAAAGCATGTGATTATTTTGCAGTGAGTCGGGGGGTTTTTTACGTTTGCAGTGAGGATTGTAAAGGTTTATGCGTGTTTATGCGCCTGAAGTGGTTTTTAAATTCGGTTGAACATGATCAGATTGACAATGCATTGATAAAGTTAACAGGAAACCCTCTTCTGTGTAACAATAAATAAAGTTCTAAGTAACTTCATTCTGGTTGTTGTTTATTTCCCCTCGGCTTGATGGAATCATAACACCTGCCATCATATTTTATAGTAATTTAATATACATTTATATACATTGGAAAGTGTTATTTAAAGCGTTTGTTCCCAGTGATCTCTTCTCAGGAAATAATCAGGGAGAGAAAGCTTAAAGGTATAAGCACTATAGCTGTCATTTATATTGATAACAAGAACGATACTATAAGCAAAAAATAAATAAAATTCAATTCAGTTTTTTTTTATATAGCACCAGATCATTCAGTCAGATTGATTCAAAGTTTTCTATCTAAGGAAAACCAGCTGATTGCATCGACTCATTGACTCTTCAGCAATCCCTCACACTAAGCATGCTTGTAGCCATGGGCGTAGGTTTGCATAGGGACCATAGTGACATGTCCCTACCAAAGTTTTGAACCGTCCTAATTGTCCCGACCAATAATTGGATGTGAGCAACATGTTTATAATTTACAGCAGTGGCTCTTTTCCTCTCGCAGCTCCTCTGCCTGGTCTCTCCTGTCCCTTTCACCTAGCAGCGCATTGAACTGTGCTGCGCTGTTTAACTCCACTCTCATTGGCTGTTCTGCCTTAGGTCCCGCCTTCTCTCTTTCTGATTGGCTGTTTTCTAGTCCGCTGTGCTTGGAGCACAACATTGAAAATTTATTCACACTAGAATGCAGCGGTTACTACAATTAATATTAGACTATGAAACTAGTCCCAATAAAAAAAATGAATATCATGTACACTAAAAAACAAAAACCTTTTTTTTTCTTTTATAAAACGAAATATTCTGAGTCAGCCAGGAGTTCTGAAGACACAAAATGGGCAAATAAAGGCTGTAAGCCATCAACATTTCTGATTCTTAGCCACAGCCACCTAAAAAAGAAAATGTGACGGTTTCCTTTTTACCAATATTTAGTTGCTGTTACTGGTTTCATTTTTTGATGACTCTGAGGAAGTTCAGGTATAATTATTAGCAGGTGTTATTTCTCTTATAGAGGAAAACAACAAGAAATGGCGGCTAAACATCTGCTGTGTATCGTTTAAAAAGCATAATTAGGGTTCCAAATAATAATAATAATTTAATTGACTATTTATACTTCTAGAAATAGGATAAAGAGAAGAACAAACAGATGAAGAATATTAACATTGATTTTATCTTACATAGATTTCCACACAGTCTATAAGTAAATTAGTACAAACATTAATGTCTGGTAAAAATGCTGGAATCTGACTGTTTATTTTGGATATTATTAAATTACAGATAAGATAGTGTTATATTGTCTTTTATAATTGTTAAAAGTGATTTTATATTTTAATAAACTTAGGCTCATTCTCAGTGTTGTGTTTGTAGATGATGCCACTAAAAAGAAAATATACATAAGGAGCTATTTATACAGTCAGACAGTAGCAATATAGGACAATGATAAAAGGTTGTGTTACATTTAATCCTTTACTATTAAAAATGCACTTATACATTATATGATTATAGGAAACACAGATATCCAGCAATAATGATGCAGGGCAGCTTGTAGGTGAAGCAGCTGCCATTCAGTGCTTCAGGTGACGTCTAAATAAACCAGGTGAAACTAAAATATTTCCACATGAGGAGTTCTGGATGGAGAATTTTGATTATATATATGTATTGTAGTTTTACAATTTTGGTATAATTACTGATCTAAGTGGGTTGCTCTGTTGGAAAAAGACACATTTTACATTTATATTATGTTTTAGAGTCTTTATACTCCAGTTAATGATGAATCAATTATTAAATTAGTTGACGATTATTGAAATAATCAATTAATGCTTCAAACATTGATAAACAGCATCTAATGAGTGTAGTGTTTTTTTTTATTTAATTTTTATTAATGTAGCAAAATTATGCTTTTCTCTTTTAACATTGAATTCCTCTTATCAGTACGGATGCTCACATCGAGCATAAAAAAGGGCGTGCATATTGCATAGCACCAATGACACCCGACCAATCGTGTCCCTACCAAAGTTAAAATCAAACCTACGCCCTTGCTTGTAGCGACAGTGGAGAGGAAAAACTCCCTTTGAACAGGAAGAAACCTCCAGCAGAACCAGGCTCAGTGTGAGCGGCCATCTGCTGAGGCCCACTGGGGTTCAAGGAGACAGAAGCAAGGATATCAATATCCTCCTCGGTGTGCCGCTAAGGAGCACAGACAGGATTCCTTTACTTTCTTTGTTCTTTAATCGTAATCAGGCGATATACAGCAGCCTCTCCATATTCACACTGATACAGATGTCAGCATAGGTGAAACACTCGTGAATATTATTGTGTGGTCGACAAAGGAAAGTAATAAACAAATCAAAAATGCCTGCTGTGTGAACTAATAAAAACTAATAGAAAACTACTTAGATTATCATTTAACAACATTTGCATCAAGAAAGTATGATTACTTATCATAACCAAAGCTTAAACACTCTTAACATCTGTGCTTAACAAGGTTCACTAAACAAACGTTGCATCGGATGTGATCAGCATTAGCCTGTAGCTTCCATCATAGAACACTCTTAAATATTACAAAACTATCAATCATATAAAAACATGGATTCAACATGGCGTATTTAGTTTCAAAACATAACATTTATGTCACTCTGATCATGTTACACTAACGTTTTGTCATCTACACACACAACTTCAGCTGCACATGCTGATCGGCTCCATCTTCAACTCCAGGGTGTTGATGGCAGCAGCACAGCTGATATTTCTCTCCAGGATGGAGTCACAGCCAAACAGGAACAGACCAGATGAAGCTACTATGAGAAAAAGCAGAGAGAGCAGAACGTTAGAGATTGAACTAACAGATTCTACAAAGTGGGAGAATAGAGATAGAATGAAGCAGAATGATGAAAAAGGGGTCCCTATGTCCTCCAGCAGTCTAAGCCTATAGCAGCAGAACTATAGAGATAGCTCAGGATAACATGAGCCACTCTAACTAGAAGCTTTATCAAAAAGGAAAGTTTTAAGCCTAGCCTTAAAAGTAGACAGGGTGTCTGCCTCACAGACTAAAACTGGTAGTTGGTTCCACAGGAAAGGAGCCTGATAACTAAAAGATCTGCCTCCCATTCTACTTTTAGAAATTCTAGGAACTACTAGTAAACCTGCAGATTGAGAGCAAGTGTATAATATGGATTCCTGTCATTTTAAATTAACAGGAATTTCCATATTTGTTCATGGTGATTTGTGTGTCAGACCATGTTGAATTAAATATTCTGGTGTTGCAGTGAAATCCTGACCTTCGCGTCATATTCAAAGGGACTGATGATGCTTTTCCAGGTATCCACCGGTATCTGGGGGACTTGAGTTTATCTGCTTAAACCAAGCCTTAGAAACTTTAGCCGTTATCTATGACAAAACATCGTCTTTTAGAGCACCACTAAAAAACTGCAGACAAGGAACTGTTTTAAACAACTGAGGAAAATCTCTAAACTTAGAACAATTGTGTCCAGACATGATCTTGAAATGATTATCTACGCCAGGCATCCCCAAACTCGGTCCTAAAGGCCCCCTGTCCTGCAGGTTTTAGAGGTTTCCTTGCTCCAGCACAGCTGATTTTAATTGAAAGCTGATTAAAAGGCTTTTGGTCTACTGCAATCATTATAACCAGCTGTGCTGAAGCAGAGAAACCTCTAAAACCTGCAGGACAGCGGGCCTTGAGGACCGAGTTTGGGGATGCCTGATCTACGCCTTTGTCTCCTCCCGTCTAGACTACTGTAACATGTTTATTCTTGTGTCTAAACAAAAAGGAGTTTTCTCGTCTTCAGCAGGTTCACAATCCGGGTGCCGACCTTCAGGGTCTTTCACAGCCAGATTCCCTCCTACATTAGAGACTTGTTGTGTCCTTATACCCCTTCTCTTGGTGTCCGAGGTCTCAGGACCTGAACCTTCTCATGGTCCCTCGTACTCGTTACAGGACCAGGGGAGATCGCTCCTTTCAGGCCGTGGCGTCTGCGCTCTGGAACCATCTTCCTCTTTGCTTGCGCTTACTTGATTCTGTTGATGTTTTTAAGAGTGAACTTAAAACCTATTAGAAAGCATTTTAATTCCAGTAGATTAATGGTTGTTCTATGACCATGTCTTTTGCGACTGTAAATGTATTCTTATTTTTATTGTAATATTGTGAAGCACTTTGTGACGTCCATGTCAGTGAAAGATGCTATATAAACATTATTTACTTCGAAACATCATTTTTTAGCCAAAGTCAAACACGAATCATTTCACTGATTTCCAATGAGAAAACATCTTCTGTGATTTGAATATATTTCCTCTAATTCTGCAAATAATATCACCTCAAAATATTAGTCTAATGAAACTTAATTTAGACATTCTATTACTTTATTCAGCTAGATTACATAGAAAAATACATAATGTTTTAAAAAAGGAAAGCTTTACATTGCGTATCCTGTTTTGCAGATATTTTATTAGACCAAACAAAGATAGAAACAAAAGTTAGTTTGTAGAAAATCTGACTTATAAAAACAATTATCTGTTGTGGATTTCCTTCAGATTTTGTTATGTTTGTGTCCTTCGAGGTACAAATGTTTTAGAACATGCCTGCGGTCTGGTTAAGCCATTCTGCACATGAATTGTCATCTGAAAGTAAATAAATAAAATAAAAATAGAATAAAATACATTTATTCAAGAAGCAATTTTCTTATGTGTTTATTTTAATAACCTCAAAATTGATCTTTTTCAGAAATAAAAGATGGAGAATATTCACCTCCACACCAAAAAAAATCCTTATATTACGATGTTTATCACGTTATATTAGTGTTTTAAACCTTAGTGAAATAAAGTTTGTTTTATGGAGGACCATATTTACCATATTAAAAAATAAATACAGAAATAAATAAATGCTCAGTAAATAAATAAGCATACAATTATTTGCCCCCAAAAATACAATAAACAAATAAATGTAGGTAGAAATGAAAATATACAATGAGACATAAGTTTATATCTATAATTAGCTTCTTTATTTATTCACCTTTGTAATAATTACCTTATTTATTTATTGTTCATTTTAATATTATATACTTATACTTATTTTTTAAAGTATTTATGTGCATGTTAGAATGTTTTTGTGTGTTTTATTCTTCCTTTGTATTTTTTAACCCTATTTATTTCTTCAATGCTATTTATTTCTGCTCATTGGTTGGTTAGCATTTTACTGCATCGGTTGAATACTACATTTATTTATTTATTGAGAATTTATTTATTTCTGTATTTATTTTTAAATATGGTAGAGCTGGTCCTTCATATGTTTTAGCTTCATAAAAACAGCTCAAAACATGTCAGCATGGTGTACTATGGTTAGCTTACATGACAGTAAACACATGAAATGATAAAAAAAAAACAAAATCACAAAAAAAAATATTTAACTGGGAAATCTTTCTCTGACCTGCAACCTGAGAAAAGGCGGAGTCGTCTCTAGTATTCAGCAGATGTCACCTATATTTCTCCATTAGCTTACTGACCATTTTGGACTTTAATGTCATCTTTAATGTTTATTTAATCCTGTTTTTGTTTCCGTTCCGAGGCATCAGCAGAGTGACGTTTATCTTCAGTGAGAAAATGTATGTGGTTTTCAATCAGATCATTTAATTTGTTCGTGGAATAGAAAATGTTGGAAGCCAAAAAGTTTTACAGGTTTTCGATTGAAAGCATCTTTCTTGAAAAGATCTATCTTTTCCAAGAAGATATTAAAGTTATAAATTAAGCTAATTGTTCTTGTAGATCAGGTTTGTTTTATCCATTTATTTAGGGAAGAAAACCTGCTGAAGGCTTCATCTCCTGCTGAAGGTGGGGAGACAGAGCCAACAATGAACAGTCATGTTTTTGGACTGTGGGAGGAAGCCGGGGTACCAGGGGAGAAACCCCCGTACACAGAGAACATGCCAAACCTCATGCGGAAAGAACCTGTACCAGGAATTGAACCTAAAACCTTTTTGCTGAAGGGCAGCCGTGCCACAAACTGTTCCACAGACGTGGTGTCGTCCTTTTCTCCGGTCTGATGAAAACAAAATAAAATATTTAAAAGGTAGTCCGGCTAGAGGATCTTTAAACCGTTTCGTTCAACTTTCTGTGGTTTTGGTTAAGATGTCAGAAAGTAAAAAGTAAGAATAATATAAGTGGAGAGCAAGGGAGAGAATTGGTCCGAGCAGCCAGAGAGGCAGAAGTAAAGGTAGTAACTAGTTACATTTACTCAGTTACATTCAGTCATGTAGCATTAAGAAAGAGTACTTTTAAAAGTAGTTTTACTTTACATTATTTTTCCATTTTACTTAAAGGAATAGTACACCCAAAACATGATTAGCCTTCATTTTCTACTCACCCCAATGCTGAACAACACTCTGGAGTACTTTTTTGATATCTCAGATGCATCTGGAGATCTGGGAGGCTTCTTGCTGTCTGCTGACATTCAAATAATGGAGGTCTATGGCGCCCGAGGCAGAAAGGTCCATAAAAGTCCACAAAAAACGTGTCAATATTCCTCCATACTGCTCGTCCAATGTATTCCTAGTGTCCTGAGTGGGTAGCGTCCATAATTTACTCGAAACGAAGTCATTTAGAATGTTGTTAGAGCATAAACAGTAGTGTATAGGATTTCCTAAAAGCGCGTTCACGAGTCTACGGAAACCGCAGCAGACCAAACCAGATGAAAGTGCGCATTCAGCTCGGCAAAGAACTCATGCTCTTCCTCAACACTGAAGTCCTCAGACATTTTTCTTTCGTTGTTTCTTTCTTTGCACAGGTAAACAGCACATTTCTTCTTCTACGCTTGCATTATCGGCAGAGCAGACGCTGAATCCGCACTTTCATCTGGTTTGGTCTGCCGCGGTTTCCGCGCTTTCAGGAAATCCTATACACTACTGTTTATGCTCTAAAAACATTCTAAATGACTTCGTTTCGAGTAAATTATGGACGCTACCCACTCAGGACACTTGGAATACGTTGGACGAGCAGTATGGAGGAATATTGACACGTTTTTTGTGGACTTTTATGGACCTTACTGCCTCAGGCGCCATAGACCTCCATTATTTGAATGTCAGCAGACAGCAAGAAGCCTTCCAGATCTCCAGATGCATTTGAGATATCAAAAAAGTACTCCAGAGTGTTGTTCAGCATGGGGGTGAGTAGAAAATGAAGGCTAATCATGTTTTGGGTGTACTATTCCTTTAAGCACTAATATTTTGAGAGTATCACTGAACTGAGTAACATTTCTAGTTACTTTACCCTCCAGGAGTGACAAGATGAAAATACTTTAGCGAACAGACGCACTGAAGCAGAAAGTCTTCTATCCCTTTCTGACATAAAGTCAGTGCTGACTGTAAAGGTTTTTTTTTTTTTTTTTTTTTTTTTTTTTTTTCTAACTTATTTGCAAAAGTGTATCTTTTGCCCTAATTAGTTTTTTTTTTTTTGGAGTATTTTATTTATTTTCTATTTGAGATTTTTGTTTTTTACTTTGAATTACCAGCATTGTCCAATAATTTCAATCTAAACATAACATTTGATTTTAGGCGCCATCAATTACTCAGTGCTTGATTAGCCGCTTTACCAAGATTACTACTTTAACCAGAATAAAGTAGAGGTACTTTTACCTGAGTAACTTTCTGGGCACTCTTTGCTACACTGAATAAATTTTTTTTTACCAGAAATACATGAGGTGAGTAATATTTTAAATTATATAAATATGGTTTCAGATTCCAACATGTTATTGTCATTTTTGTTTCAGATTACTTCTCATTACTCTTTAATTTTTCTTTATTTCTTTGTAATTTCCTTTTTTAAATTAAATTTTAGTTTTTTTTTTTAGCAAATATTTGACATTATTTAATTTAAAAAAAACTCAGCTTTGTTAAAAAAGAAGTTAAATGTTATATAATTAATTTTAAATACAAGGTGTTTCTTCATATTCTTTATTTATTTTATACACTGAAGTTCTGCCTGTATTGTTATTATATTTTTTGCTGCTATATTAGAAATAAATTTATTTAAATACATAATTTATTTTCTCCTTTTTTTTAGATTTTTATTCTTTATTGTTTTAATATGAGGTGTGTCTGCTTGCCGCCATGTTGTTTAGTGACGTAACCAACCAGGAAGTGAGCTCGCGGTTCTCTGTGGAAGCAGCTGAGCCTCACGGACCAAAACAACTCTTCCTCCTCCTCATCATCGCCCGCCTCCTCCTCTCGGACCATGGACCGGTGAGAGCAGAGTCCGTCCCGAACCAGTCCGAACCGCCCCGAACCCTGCGTCTCGTGCCTCCCGCTAACCGAGCCCCACCTGCAGACCCCCTCCCCTCCCCTCTCCTCTTCCTCCTGTCGGTTCTGTTGACATGTTCTTGTTGTTGTTGTTTACCTGTTACATTTGCCTCCTCGCGCTTTTTTCTGCGGCTCTTGCTTCTTTTTAGGTTCGGAGTTTGGTGGCCAAACATCACAAGGCTCACGCTGATTCAAATCTCGCGATAATTCTCCGTTAGATGAGCTTGTAAAGTGTGGTCAGGGTTCCAGTCAAGCTGCTAAACCAGTTTAAACCAGTTACACCTCATATTGATTTAATATTTCTTTGGAAGGACATAAAAGACACTACCATCAGAATTGTTCTGGTTTAAAGTCGTAAGGAAATCATATTTGAATGTTAAATCATTCTGGCTTAAACATGTATATAAATGTACACTTTATCAGACCATATTGTCCTCAAAAATTTCTATTTAAAAAAAAATCCAGTCTAAAAATCTGTGTTTTTTCTTGTTGTCTTCTGCAGGCCAGTTAGTTCTACGTCAGCCTGAACACCTAAATTCGGCCAATCATATATCAGCGGTCATCTGTCAATCAAATTTTTTCGGTCATAGTATCTTGATTCATGTGTCGCAGCTAATATACGCAACGGTTGAAACCAGAATCCTTTCCTTTCCCATTGAGTTGCGTCCCAGTGTTCACGGGGATGGACGTCTGTGTCTTCGGCAGGCGTAGAGCTAACAGAACTGGCAGCGTTGCGAGGCAAGGGCTCAAACATGTATGGCTGGAAGCCTTCTACACCAAACCAAGCTTCTGCCGCCCTGGCGTCCTCTTCCACAACATCTTCGTCCCCGCTTTCCTGCTCTAAATAAAAAATGGATGACGGAGGAGACTCATCCACGACCTCCGACACTAAACTCTCCTCCTCTTGCATGTTTCCGCTGTCCATAGCGTTCCTTGACAGCGTCGTTTCTAAGTCACCAATTTAGTGCTACTTGGTCCCAATGGAATTTCCCATTGGGAACCTGCTAGCACTAAGTTGCTAACTGGTTAGCAAGATGCTTCCCACAAACTGGCTGCAACCAAAAAGCTTGTGAACCTTCCGCCACAACAATCCTGCCCTCTATATAATCGACCAAACACATTCACTTTATTTACTCGTGTAAAGTCGGACACCACTCGGGAAAATTCGTAAATGCAACGATTGGAACGGCCAATTCTCTACGACTTTAATGAACCTGATCTGATTCGGTTCTGAGAGCCCAGTATGGGTGGGACCTCATTAGGTGGTTCTGTGTGTCCCTGAATGAAGGCAGCTATAAAATGATGTTTTTATTAATGTTGCTGGACTTTGTTGATGTCTGGGTCTGAGCACCACGGCTTACAGACGCAGGAAACAACGACACACGTTGAGGTTCATCGTACTGCTAAGCAGATTATTACTGAAATAGTGCGGGACGGTACTGACGAACTAGTACCATGTTAGCGCGGTTCGGTCCGACGCGGTTTGGTTCAGTTTTGCGTGCCGTTTACACTCACAGTTAACTCGGTCACTGTCGTCAGACCGATATCTGCACGGTTTCAGAAGAATAGTGGAAATGTGGCTAATAAATGTCCTTCAACCTGAGGAGAACCTGGTTGACTGAAGGTTCTCCTCCCTGTCTGATCAGTTTAATTAACCACCTGTTGGCCATTCTGTGTTTACCTGCAGGAGTTCACATTCCCTGCTGCTCGCTCTGAGAACATGAGCTCCGCCCACCTGTCCCCAGGTGAGTCGTCCAATCCTGACCTTTAACCCCTTCCTGTCCTAACTGCAGTGAGCTCCACCAGCTCTCTTTGTTTCTCCAGTGGATGGCACTGACAGGCTGTGTGTTTCTGAGCGCGCTCAGTGCATCCCTTCTCCGGTCCTTCACCTACGCCAGCTACCTGCAGACATCTCTGAACAGGAAGTGGTCGCCTTGGCGCATCCTTTTGGCACAGTCTCCAAACTGATCACACTGAGGACCAAAAACCAGGTAACTGTTCCCTTTGGACCCAAGTCCTGGTAGTTTTGCAGCGGATCCATCCTCCCTCCTCGTTCTGATTAGAAATCCACTGATACAGGTTTTAAAGCTGATGCCGATTATTTCGATAATATGTGCTGCCGATATTTTTGGCCTATACTTAGAGACGACATTGCTTTATCTTCCTACATTTAGACGCTGAAGATGACACAATGATAACAAATGTCACATAATTCTTAGTTTTTTTTCCAGATGTGCGGGGGACCACTAATTATATATATTGTATGAAATAGTGTTCTATCAAACTGGTCCTATAGTCACTCTATTACAGATGGAGTAATGTAACTAAAGTAATCCTTCCCTGGGATTATTAAATTATTTCTGATTCCTGGTTGATGGGACAGGTGTTGTGAATGAAACGGTGTCCAGCTTGAAAGAGCTCCTGTGTGTCGCTGAATGTGAGCATTGATGACTGAAAGACATCTTCTGCCTCCATTTATCTGTTTACTACAGTCTGTTGGATTCATGTTAATGTGTATTTAAAGACATTTCAATTAAAGGAAAATATTTACGCTGGGAATATAAAAAAAAAAATTCTAATTAACCAAAGCTTTTGCGAGCCCCATGCAGTACCTCTGTGGACCCCCTAGAGGTCACCGAACCCATGTTGAAGACCTCCGGTTTAGTTTATTCCTTTATTTTTGTACGAAAAATAAACTTTAAACTAGCTCAACGGGCGTGTATCCTGTTGAGGTAAAACAATTGAATTACTTACTTTATGGAGTATTTTGAAGCGTATGTTCTGACCTTAAACTTGTTTTTTTTGTAGATGACTGTACCACACCTGTTCAGGTAGTTTAAAGTATTTTTCATACAATACTAAAGAAATAAACATGCTTGTGTAGTTCTATTTTTTGATTTTTATATATTAGTTTAATTATCAGGGACAGTAGGCCTACAGATTGATGAACATTTCTGTAAACGTGTCAGTATTTGCTATGAAGCTAGTTTTCAACTGTCGTCGCTGGGCAAGGTGTATAATGCCAACAACAATTACAAATAAATAAAAGTTGGCCTAGTGGGTTATAGCAGTGCGTGTTTGCTCTGAGAAGGTAGCAAGTAACCAGTTCGATCCCCACAGCCGGTGGTCTGTCAGACCAGCATACAGAATCAGAAATACTTTAATAATTTCACAGGGAAATTACTTTTGTTACACGCTCCAGTTACAGTTTTATATAATATATACACACATCCAACTATACAATATAATAAAGATAAAATAAGAATAAAAAGAGATCAAATATATCACTTTACTTGGATTTATCACTTTACTTGGATTTATCACTTTACTTGGATTTTCACTTTATTTTGATTTAGTTTTTACATATGCATAGATATACGTACAGATATATATACAGAAGAGCTATATTTGTATCCAATCCAATCCAATCCACTTTATTTATATAGCACGGTTTAAATAAACACAAGGTTTCCAAAGTGCTGCACAAAAAGATAAAATAACTAAAATAAATAAAAGTAATAAAATAAAATAAAATAAAAGCACTGCCCGCACAGGATAAAAATATGCATGTGTATACATAAAATCAACATGTGTACATAAAATCAACATGTGTACATAAAATCAACACTCTACATGGTGTTAAAAGCCAAAGAAAAGAGGTGGGTTTTAAGAAGAGTTTTAAAATGAGACAGAGAGGTGGCCTGTCTAATGTGCAGCGGCAATGCATTCCAGAGTTTTGGAGCTGCAACAGAAAACGCTCGATCCCCTCTGAGCTTAAGCCTTGCTTTAGGCACTGTCAGGAGCAGCTGATCAGCTGACCTGAGAGATCGGCTGGGAGTGTAGGGGTGCAGAAGCTCAGAGAGGTAAATTGGGGCAAGGCCATTCAAGGCTTTAAAAGTAAATAAAAGAATTTTAAAATTAATCCTAAAATGGACGGGCAGCCAGTGGAGTGAAGCTAAAACAGGTGAAATGTGCTCGTACTTGCGTGTGCCAGTTAAAAGACGTGCAGCAGCATATATATTTTATCTCTTTTTATTCTTATTTTATCTTTATTATATTGTATAGTTGGATGTGTGTATATGTGTGTGAGTATTCTGATTCTGATTCTGTATGCTGGTCTGACAGACCACCGGCTTTGGGGATCGAACCGGTTACTTGCTACCTTCTCAGAGCATAATTGTTGTTGGCATTATTCACCTTGCCCAGGGACGACGGTTGAAAACTAGCTTCATAGCAAATACTGACACATTTACAGAAATGTTCATCAATGTGTACTGTCCCTGACAAATAAGCAAATACATAAAAATCAAAAATAGAACTATAGTTTACAGACAGGACAGACTATTTACCGCTTTGTTTCAATGAAGTGGATGCTAACAGTTTATGTTGGGATCGAACAATCGTGATGGGAGCTTCAATGACCGTCTGAAACCGTAGCTCACCACAGATATACGCCTGAGAGTGGGCAGAAAAAGATCGCTAACGGGACGAAAACGTAGGACGGCCTTACGTAAACACATCACCAGAATGATTGACAGTTAGGTGGACTACTTATTTAGATGATCCACCTGGAAATAAAAGATGGTCCTCTATACCTTTAAAAGTGGGGAAAAAAGTTGTGTAAATACTTAATTAATTTTCTCTAGTTTTGGACCTGTAGAACTCTATGGTTTGGTTTCTCAGGCGTTCTTAGAAATGGCATCAGAGGAAGCAGCCATTACCATGGTGAACTACTACACCTCAGCCCCGCCCACCATCAGGAACCAACCAGTCTACATCCAGTACTCCAATCACAGAGAGCTGAAGACAGACAATACGTCCAATCAGGTGAGAAGAACCCAGCCACGCCCCGCCCCATCGTCTCTAAACTGTCAGAATGGGGAGTGGGCGGAGCCTCTGTGAGTAATACAGTGTTGTTTCTTTTTTATTGACAGAGAGCTCAGGTTGCAATGCAGGCCATCAGCACAGCAGCACTGCATTCTGGGAACATGGCCTCAGGAGATGGGCGGGGCTTAGTTCCAGCCCCCAGCGCGGTTCTGAGGATCATTGTGGAGAACCTGTTTTACCCTGTGACCCTGGAGGTCCTCCAGCAGGTCGGCACCTGTTGATGATTTCAGTTCTATTCAGTTTATTTCTATAGCTCCAATTCACATCATGTCATCTCAGGTCACTTTCCAGTTCACCAGATCATCCAGTCAGATTGATTCTAAGTTTTCTGTCTAAGGAAAACCAGCTGATTGCATCGACTCATTGACTCTTCAGCAATCCCTCACACTAAGCATGCTTGTAGCGACAGTGGAGAGGAAAAACTCCCTTTGAACAGGAAGAAACCTCCAGCAGAACCAGGCTCAGTGTGAGCGGCCAGTTTGTTGACCGCCTGCTTGAAGCAGCTTCCAGGAACAAAATAATTCTGTAAATGTATCCATGACGCTCAAATCTTTCCGCCACCAATCAGCTCCACGCCCCCTATAATCTGATCCGTGCATCAAAACCTGAAGGCGCAATAATAAATCTTAGTTTTATTTACGGCGGCTGCCAATGGTTGAAAGCAGGCATGAAGAGAGCTCAACATGAGGACAGCGGCCTTTGAGGACCCACTTTGGGGATTCCTACTCTGCAGCCTTTTCTTCTTCTGTTCTGCTAATTCCTGCAGTGCTGATTCACACCTTCTCAGCTCACTTTAGAAACCAAACAAAAACCACAAATCCTTCATTTTATTACTCAGATTTCACCTGTCCTGTTTTCCCTTCAGATCTTCAGTAAGTTCGGCTCCGTGCTGAAGATCATCACCTTCACCCGGAACAATCAGTTTCAGGCTCTGCTGCAGTTCAGCGACGCCGTGCACGCTCAGCACGCCAAGGCTGTGAGTCACTCACTCATGCACGTGTAAGCGTGTCCTACAGGTGTTACTGTAGACCAATCGGATGCCGGTATGTTTCAGTCTCTGGACGGGCAGAACATCTACAACGGCTGCTGCACGCTAAGGATAGATTTCTCCAAACTGAGCGCGCTCAACGTCAAGTACAACAACGACAAGAGCCGAGACTTCACCAGAGCCGACCTGCCGACCGGAGAGCTGGACCCGACTGCCACCGCCTTCGGTGGGTGGAGCAGATTACCTGCACAGCTGTAGTTCTCAGACCGACCACCAGGTGTCCTCTGTTACTCTCACTGTGTGTGGGCGGGGCTTACAGACCCCCTGTGTGTGTTTTCAGGTGTAGCTTTGCCGCCATATGGAGCAGCAGCGTTCCCTCCAACGTTCCATCAGCACACAGGTGAGTCACATGACCTGCCGGTGGGCGGAGCTAAAACAACACCTGCACTTGGAAAAACAGTCAATACTACTTTCTATTCACTGCAATATGTTTTTTTTTTTTACTTTCCAAATTAGGGCAAAACTAATGAGATGGAACAATTCTACGGAAGACCAAAACTGACAGATAAAAAAAGCAGGAATAACAAATAAACAAATAATTACAAAGATTGTTTTTTGTATTTAAAAATGCTTAAATCAAATAAGTTGAATCTATAAGAAAAATATGAAAGTCAATTAAATAACATGACTTGTCCAAAGTATTAATGTTTATTTTTAAAATGTAAAGAGTAGAAAGTAAAAATAATTTTAAAAAATGTGAGAAGTAGAAGACATTTTGCCTAAACAATAATTACTGCAGTAAAGTATAGATAACCAACATTTCTACTTAAGAGGACAAAAAATTCACACTTTACTTTACACCTCTAGTTAAATCAATACATGGTGTATTTTAAACAAGGGGATAAAACTAAACAGAAATATTTATCTTTTAATTGTAAAATTGATAATGCATTGGTTTCTTTGTTTATTTATTTGACAATATGTATTTCTTCTGCATTTTTATTTCTGTCAGTTTTGGTCCTCCATAGTTTCAGCCCTGCTTTGTAGAAATATTCACCTTGTTTGGTAAAACAGCAGAACAAACGCATGTATGGGAAGCATGGTTTTACTTTTACCACAGTTTGCTTCCATTTTCTGCACATTTGCTAATGAAAACAAACATGGATCCTGTGTATACCAAATGTATGCAGTGCAAACCCTGTAAACCCTGTAACCCTGTAGTCTTTAAAGTCGTTTTTCATATTTCTGTGGGTAAACTTTATTAAGTTATTTAGCTTATTTGGCCTACATTGACATTTAATAGCTTTTCATTGGGCCTATTGTCACTCAGGCTAAAATCAGCTAGCATTAGCTTATGTTGTCTTGATAGAACTGGAGTTTTACTGACCTTTATTACGTTGCTCCTTGTAAAGTTAGCTTAGCATACCAACAATGAGGGTCATTTTATTTATTTTTCTTTTTGGCTTTACTCTATGGTCTAGCAAAGGTGCAGGAAGTGATGCAGGGGTGGAGCCTGTTAGTGTTGCATTGCAGCCTGAAACAACTGAGACAGTTTTGGGAAAGTTTAAATTTTTTTTAGCTTTTTCGCATCCTTGAATAATTCATTATGTTCCATAAAATGTATATTTAGTTACCAGATATTTTTGAGAATCCATAAAGCAGCATTAATTTATTAACAATGACTTCATTCAGAGGCAGGCTTATAAGCTTCAATCAGTTTAGTTGCACTTTGTCATTTGAGCCACTAGATGTCACTAAAAGCAACATTTTATATACATATTTATTTTGTATATATATATTTATATATATATAGTTTTAGTTTTATGTGTTAGTTTTATATATATACTGTAACATCGTATATATATTCATTACAGCAGTACATTTTTAGTAGAAAGGATTTTTTTAAGGATTCAGTCACATTTTTCATATTCAAATTATCTTAGAAGAAAGTGGACAATATTTGCATTTTTTTACATTTAGTTTGAAAGTTTAGCTGAAAAACAATTAAAAAAGAAATACCTTTTAACTTAAATTTTTTTTTCATTCATTTGTACTGAAATATTTCTTACTAAAATGCTAAAACTATAACTATATTATGTAAAACTCACCACTCATTGTGCAATAGTGGGGACAGAACCATTTTAAAGCACTTTTATTAACTTTATTTCTTTATGTATAAATATTTCTGGATTCAAACTGATTTCATTGCTCCACCAGAGGGCGCCACAGTCTGCTTACAGTCTGTGTTTTTCTGCTGTTAATGAACTTTCTCCGTCCTCAGGTCTCCCCATGGCCACCGTCCCCGGCTCACTGGTGTCTCCTCCTCGCGTGGCGCTGCAAATGGCGCCCCCTGCAGTCCACTCAGTGCTACTGGTGTCAAACCTGGACCCAGAGGTGAGAGGTCACACTGCAACGCAGCAGCTGACCAATAGGAGCACAGCTTTTTGATCCATTGGTGTTTTTTTGTTCCACAGAGAGTTTCTCCCCACTGCCTCTTCATCCTGTTTGGTGAGAAGTCCTTCAGTTTATTCCCTGTGTGTCCTGCAGGGGGAGCTCAGCCTGCTGTCTCTGTGTATTTCAGGCGTTTATGGAGACGTCCAGAGAGTGAAGATCCTGTTCAACAAGAAGGAAAACGCTCTGGTTCAGATGAGCGACGCTACGCAGGCTCAGCTGGGTCAGAACCAGCACTTTGGATTTGTTAACTCTTTTCTCAGATTTAGAAAGAAAACTTAGTAAATAATTTGAACTTAAAGCAATAGTGGAGAATTTTTGCGACTTTTTTAAAAGTCACACGCTCTCCACTTAAAAAAAAAATGCACATGACCAACCCTGTACCTGCACGAGCCCATTTCTCAGCTAGTTCCTGATTGGCCCTCTGGTGTTGTGGCGTGGAATAACAGCGCAGACCACGCTTCAATATTGGGCAGAAATTAAAAATACCTGGGTCAAGCTGACTGAGACACACTGCTGCAGGTCTATAACCTGCCCTTTAGCCCTAAATCCCTCCATCACTATACAGAGCAGGGACTATATAGTGAACTTTATGGTGAACTCAACTTAACTGACCGTTCAGACGGATGATCACTGCTTTTTGCTCTGTTTGTCACATAACTCCTCCTCTGCACGGTGCCTGCGCCATCTTTGTTATTAGTCGCCGCTTTCGGGTAGAAACAGGCTATGGCAGCAGCGGGCCACTATGACAGCAAATCCCATAATGCTTTGCAAGGAGAACGCTTCTTGCAAAGCATTCTGGGATATATCTGCCTCTCCTGAGGCCTTTCTTTTCTTCTCAAACACTTCCTAGACAATTTTCTCTTATGACCCTCGGCTTTTTTCAAAGAACCGTGGTGATAAAGGTGAGCTTCAATGACCGTCTGAAACCGTAACTCACCACAGATATACGCCTGAACACTTTCAGAAAAAGATAGCTAACGGGTCGAGCGTGTAGGACGGCCTTACGTAAAGATATCACCAGAATGATTGACAGTTAGGAGGACCACTGATTGAGATGATCCACGTGGAAATAGAAGATAAATGTAAATTTTTTGTACCTTAACAAATTTTTCTATATTTTAAAACTTTATTTATTTGTTTATTTGATCAATCTTTAATCCGATTGTTTTAGTTGAACCAAAAAATTAGTTTGTTATATTTATGTTGTTTTCCTTTTAATTTCTAAGAGTAAAATTCAACAGAGGTTATTTTTTTCGCAATATAAATGTTTCTTGAACGACTGAAAATTGAAAAGTGTCTCATTTTAATTTAGCCAAATTTCCAAATGTTTTTTTTTTTTTCAGTTTTGCTCAGAAACTAAAATTTCTTTTCTTCACTTATTTTTAGATTCAGTTTGATTTATTTACTTTCAAATATTTAGATTCTTAGAGAAAATATTAGACCTGTGATGTTTTTCTCCTGACAGCGATGAGTCACCTGAACGGTCAGCGTCTCCATGGCAACGTGATCCGGGTGACGCTGTCCAAACACCCGGTGGTGCAGCTGCCCCGCGTAGGGGCGGGGCCAGAGGAGCAGACGCTGACGCAGGATTTCTCAGGCTCCGCCCTTCACCGGTTTAAAAAACCAGGTTCAAAGAACTTCAACAACATTTTTCCTCCATCAGCGACGCTGCACCTCTCCAACATCCCGTAAGGCCCCGCCCACTTCCTGCTCTTCCTTAATGTCCTGTCCTTTTTTCCTCCCCGTATCCTTCCTTCCTTCATCCTCCCAGTGTCCTTCCTTTGTCCTCTCTGTTTCCTTCCTTCCTTCCTTTGTCCTCTCTGTTTCCTTCATTCCTTTGTCCTCGCTGTGTCCTTCTTTCCTTTGTCCTCACTGTTTCCTTCCTTTTTTTGTCCTGAATGTGTCCTTCCTTTGTCCTCTCTGTTTCCTTCCTTCCTTTGTCCTCGCTGTGTCCTTCTTTCCTTTGTCCTCACTGTTTCCTTCCTTGTTTTGTCCCCACTGTGTCCTTGCTTCCTTTTTTTGTCCTCACTGTGTCCTTCCTTCCTTCTTTTGTCCTCGCTGAGTCCTTCCTTCCTTTATCCTCACTGTGTCCTTCCTTTGTCCTCTCTGTTTCCTTCCTTCCTTTGTCCTCACTGTGTCCTTCTTTCTTTTGTCCTCACTGTGTCCTTCCTTCCTTTATCCTCACTGTGTCCTTCCTTCCTTTGTCCTCACTGTGTCCTTCCTTCCTTTATCCTCACTGTATCCTTCCTTCCTTTATCCTCACTGTGTCCTTCCTTCCTTTGTCCTCACTGTGTCCTTCCTTCCTTTATCCTCACTGTGTCCTTCCTTTGTCCTCTCTGTTTCCTTCCTTCCTTTGTCCTCACTGTGTCCTTCTTTCTTTTGTCCTCACTGTGTCCTTCCTTCCTTTATCCTCACTGTGTCCTTCCTTCCTTTGTCCTCACTGTGTCCTTCCTTCCTTTATCCTCACTGTATCCTTCCTTCCTTTATCCTCACTGTGTCCTTCCTTCCTTTGTCCTCACTGTGTCCTTCCTTCCTTTGTCCTCACTGTGTCCTTCCTTCCTTTATCCTCATTGTTTCCTTCCTTCCTTTGTCCTCACTGTGTCCTTCCTTTATCCTCACTGTGTCCTTCCTTCCTTTGTCCTTGCTGTGTCCTTCCTTCCTTTATCCTCACTGTGTCCTTCCTTCCTTTGTCCTCACTGTGTCCTTCCTTCCTTTGTCCTCGCTGTGTCCTTCTTTCCTTTGTCCTCGCTGTGTCCTTCTTTCCTTTGTCCTCGCTGTGTCCTTCCTTCCTTTATCCTCACTGTGTCCTTCCTTCCTTTGTCCTCACTGTGTCCTTCTTTCCTTTGTCCTCGCTGTGTCCTTCTTTCCTTTGTCCTCGCTGTGTCCTTCCTTCCTTTGTCCTCGCTGTGTCCTTCCTTCCTTTATCCTCGCTGTGTCCTTCCTTTATCCTCGCTGTGTCCTTCTTTCCTTTGTCCTCGCTGTGTCCTTCCTTCCTTTCTCCTCGCTGTGTCCTTCCTTTATCCTCGCTGTGTCCCTCCTTCCTTTGTCCTCACTGTGTCCTTCCTTCCTTTGTCCTCACTGTGTCCTTCCTTCCTTTATCCTCACTGTGTCCTTCCTTCCTTTATCCTCGCTGTGTCCTTCCTTCCTTTATCCTCATTGTTTCCTTCCTTCCTTTGTCCTCACTGTGTCCTTCCTTCCTTTGTCCTCACGGTTTCCTTCCTTCCTTTATCCTCACTGTGTCCTTCCTTCCTTTATCCTCGCTGTGTCCTTCCTTTATCCTCGCTGTGTCCTTCTTTCCTTTGTCCTCACTGTGTCCTTCTTTCCTTTGTCCTCGCTGTGTCCTTCCTTCCTTTGTCCTCACGGTTTCCTTCCTTCCTTTATCCTTACTGTGTCCTTCCTTCCTTTGTCCTCACTGTCCTTCCTTCCTTTGTCCTCACTGTGTCCTTCCTTCCTTTATCCTCACTGTGTCCTTCCTTCCTTTGTCCTCACTGTTTCCTTCCTTCCTTTATCCTCACTGTGTCCTTCCTTCCTTTATCCTCACTGTGTCCTTCCTTCCTTTGTCCTCACTGTGTCCTTCCTTCCTTTGTCCTCACTGTTTCCTTCCTTCCTTTGTCCTCACTGTGTCCTTCCTTCCTTTATCCTCTCTGTGTCCTTCCTTCCTTTATCCTCACGGTTTCCTTCCTTCCTTTGTCCTCACTGTGTCCTTCCTTCCTTTGTCCTCACTGTTTCCTTCCTTCCTTTGTCCTCACTGTTTCCTTCCTTTGTCCTCTCTGTGTCCTTCCTTCCTTTGTCCTCACTGTTTCCTTCCTTCCTTTGTCCTCACTGTGTCCTTCCTTCCTTTATTCTCTCTGTTTCCTTCCTTCCTTTATCCTCACTGTGTCCTTCCTTCCTTTGTCCTCACTGTTTCCTTCCTTCCTTTGTCCTCACTGTGTCCTTCCTTCCTTTATCCTCTCTGTGTCCTTCCTTCCTTTATCCTCACTGTGTCCTTCCTTCCTTTGTCCTCACTGTGTCCTTCCTTCCTTTGTCCTCACTGTTTCCTTCCTTCCTTTGTCCTCACTGTGTCCTTCCTTTATCCTCACTGTGTCCTTCCTTCCTTTGTCCTCACTGTTTCCTTCCTTCCTTTGTCCTCACTGTGTCCTTCCTTCCTTTGTCCTCCCTGTGTCCTTCCTTCCTTTGTCCTCACTGTTTCCTTCCTTCCTTTGTCCTCACTGTGTCCTTCCTTCCTTTATCCTCACTGTGTCCTTCCTTCCTTTGTCCTCACTGTGTCCTTCCTTCCTTTGTCCTCACTGTTTCCTTCCTTCCTTTATCCTCACTGTGTCCTTCCTTCCTTTATCCTCACTGTGTCCTTCCTTCCTTTGTCCCCACTGTGTCCTTCCTTCCTTTGTCCTCACTGTGTCCTTCCTTCCTTTATCCTCTCTGTGTCCTTCCTTCCTTTGTCCTCACTGTGTCCTTCCTTCCTTTGTCCTCACTGTGTCCTTCCTTTGTCCTCACTGTGTCCTTCCTTCCTTTGTCCTCACTGTTTCCTTCCTTCTTTGTCCTCACTGTGTCCTTCCTTCCTTTGTCCTCACTGTGTCCTTCCTTCCTTTGTCCTCACTGTGTCCTTCCTTCCTTTATCCTCACTGTTTCCTTCCTTCCTTTGTCCTCACTGTATCCTTCCTTCCTTTGTCCTCTCTGTGTCCTTCCTTCCTTTGTCCTCTCTGTGTCCTTCCTTCCTTTGTCCTCACTGTGTCCTTCCTTCCTTTGTCCTCACTGTTTCCTTCCTTCCTTTGTCCTCACTGTGTCCTTCCTTTATCCTCACTGTGTCCTTCCTTCCTTTATCCTCACTATGTCCTTCCTTCCTTTGTCCTCACTGTGTCCTTCCTTCCTTTGTCCTCACTGTGTCCTTCCTTCCTTTGTCCTCACTGTGTCCTTCCTTCCTTTGTCCTCACTGTTTCCTTTCTTCCTTTGTCCTCACTGTTTCCTTCCTTCCTTTGTCCTCTCTGTGTCCTTCCTTCCTTTGTCCTCACTGTTTCCTTCCTTCCTTTGTCCTCACTGTTTCCTTCCTTCCTTTATTCTCTCTGTGTCCTTCCTTCCTTTATCCTCACTGTGTCCTTCCTTCCTTTGTCCTCACTGTTTCCTTCCTTCCTTTGTCCTCACTGTTTCCTTCCTTCCTTTGTCCTCTCTGTGTCCTTCCTTCCTTTGTCCTCTCTGTGTCCTTCCTTCCTTTGTCCTCACTGTGTCCTTCCTTCCTTTGTCCTCACTGTTTCCTTCCTTCCTTTGTCCTCACTGTTTCCTTCCTTCCTTTGTCCTCACTTTTTCGTTCCTTCCTTTATCCTCTCTGTGTCCTTCCTTCCTTTGTCCTCACTGTGTCCTTCCTTCCTTTGTCCTCACTGTTTCCTTCCTTCCTTTGTCCTCACTGTGTCCTTCCTTCCTTTGTCCTCACTGTGTCCTTCCTTTATCCTCACTGTGTCCTTCCTTTGTCCTCACTGTGTCCTTCCTTCCTTTGTCCTCACTGTGTCCTTCCTTCCTTTGTCCTCACTGTGTCCTTTCTTCCTTTATTCTCTCTGTGTCCTTCCTTCCTTTATCCTCACTGTGTCCTTCCTTCCTTTGTCCTCACTGTTTCCTTCCTTCCTTTGTCCTCACTGTGTCCTTCCTTCCTTTGTCCTCTCTGTGTCCTTCCTTCCTTTATCCTCACTGTGTCCTTCCTTCCTTTATCCTCACTGTGTCCTTCCTTCCTTTGTCCTCACTGTGTCCTTCCTTCCTTTATTCTCTCTGTGTCCTTCCTTCCTTTATCCTCACTGTGTCCTTCCTTCCTTTGTCCTCACTGTTTCCTTCCTTCCTTTATTCTCTCTGTGTCCTTCCTTCCTTTATCCTCACTGTGTCCTTCCTTCCTTTGTCCTCACTGTTTCCTTCCTTCCTTTGTCCTCACTGTGTCCTTCCTTCCTTTGTCCTCACTGTTTCCTTCCTTCCTTTGTCCTCTCTGTGTCCTTCCTTCCTTTGTCCTCACTGTGTCCTTCCTTCCTTTGTCCTCACTGTGTCCTTCCTTCCTTTGTCCTCACTGTTTCCTTCCTTCCTTTGTCCTCACTGTTTCCTTCCTTCCTTTGTCCTCTCTGTGTCCTTCCTTCCTTTGTCCTCACTGTTTCCTTCCTTCCTTTGTCCTCACTGTTTCCTTCCTTCCTTTATTCTCTCTGTGTCCTTCCTTCCTTTATCCTCTCTGTGTCCTTCCTTCCTTTATCCTCACTGTGTCCTTCCTTCCTTTGTCCTCACTGTTTCCTTCCTTCCTTTGTCCTCACTGTTTCCTTCCTTCCTTTGTCCTCTCTGTGTCCTTCCTTCCTTTGTCCTCACTGTGTCCTTCCTTCCTTTGTCCTCACTGTTTCCTTCCTTCCTTTGTCCTCACTGTTTCCTTCCTTCCTTTGTCCTCACTTTTTCGTTCCTTCCTTTATCCTCTCTGTGTCCTTCCTTCCTTTGTCCTCACTGTGTCCTTCCTTCCTTTGTCCTCACTGTTTCCTTCCTTCCTTTGTCCTCACTGTGTCCTTCCTTCCTTTGTCCTCACTGTGTCCTTCCTTTATCCTCACTGTGTCCTTCCTTTGTCCTCACTGTGTCCTTCCTTCCTTTGTCCTCACTGTGTCCTTCCTTCCTTTGTCCTCACTGTGTCCTTCCTTCCTTTATTCTCTCTGTGTCCTTCCTTCCTTTATCCTCACTGTGTCCT